AAATCAAGGAAACATGTATAGTAGAACAAAAATATTTTTGGCAATCAACGCAAAATTGTTGTGTTCTTTTAGAACATTTTGTGAAGTTGAAACATTTCTTTTTTGCCATGACTTTTTCGTGTGTGTGAGATTGTCGATTATTGGTTTCATTCAAGTATTTTGATGCTACAGCTAGTGCAATGTCTTTTATGGTTACAACTTTTTTACCACACACCAAATTCTTGAGTACGGCGGCATTTGTAATTGATCCTTGAATAATTCTCATTAAAACTACCCAAGTCCACTTTTTCGACCTAATACACGGCAACAGACTGCTACAGTAATAATCATGTTGGTCTACTCCACCCATAAAATTGTTGTACAAATTGAAAGCATAAGGACAAGGTATTTCAACTTTACCATGTTCATCTTTAGAATATCGTTTTGCTGAAGACAATGGAGTAATGCCAGCAGCCGTCGAGAGCAATGAGCCAATTTTAGAGTCTATGACTGATATGTAGTTGACACCACTATTTTTGTCATGTTTCACAAAATATGTTCCTCTCTTTGATTTATTATTAAGATCAATAGTGACTCCGCTTACTCTATTTGCTCTCACAGTACCTGTAGCTCGAAGACCAATTTTTCGTAGATGAACGAAAAGATCTGGTGAACTGAAAAAGTTATCGAAATAAATGTGATAACGACTGATCTTTCTTGGTGACACAGTTGTTAGGAGCCTCTGGAGCATTTGTAGAACAACGCGGCTACCCAAAGCACAATTTCTTAAATTCTCTAACTGCTTTGAAGGGAGATGGTTTGATCCTTTCCCACAATATATATCAAAATCAAAAATAAATCCTTCTTTATTGCAAATAGCCCACAGTTTCAAACCAAAACGTACAGGTTTACCTTTCATAAACTGCTTCAAGACTGTCTTACCATAAAATTTGATCATACATTCATCAATTGATAAAGCTGTGGAAAAAATCGCAAATTGTTGGCAGTTTTTTCGAAAAATATCTAAAGGAACACGTATACGCCAAGCTCTATCATTTGCATTTTTGTCTTCATTTTTTGATAGCTTTATTTCTGATTTTATTTTTTCAAATTTTTGACGACTCATGGCTAATTTTACTAATTCGCAGACTAGAAAAGGATTATTTGACCAGTAATCTCTCTGACTTTTTCTTGAATTAAAGATCGATAAAATAATAATTCCTAAAAATGTGTTCAAGTCTTGTAGAGTAAGATCACCACCATTGTATACTGTTGCTTCTACTATAAATGCCTTTAATTCATCAGAAAAAAATAATTCAAACAAATCAGTTAGAGAATAATCGAGGATCTTTTTACGATCAGATTCTGAAAGAAAAACTTCACTTGTTAACTTTTCCCCATAAACTTTTTCGCCATCCAACCACTCATAAACATGGTTTGGTTCTAACTTCTTTTGATTTTCCGAGTAGCTATCAAGAACTTGATTGTATAAAGTAGTAGGTATAAGATTTTCAAGGAATGAGCATACATCAATGTGATCATTTTCATTTTCTGAATTTGAATCAGACTCAGAATCTTAAGAATCGTCTAAACTGGAAATCATAATGACATCAAAATTCTCGTCATTTTCTTCGGTTTCAATATCATATTGTTGATCAGAATTTTTTGATCGTTTTTTGGGTGGCATTTTTCCGACTTCACAATAAAATAATTCTACTATTTTCTTATAAGAATATGTAATAATGCAATAAAAAATTATTATTTAAGTTATCTAAACAACTAAAAATTGTTTCCGAACTCAATGAAGAAATAAAAAAAATTTTTAGAGCTTTAGTAATCATCAAACTACTTAGTGTAAAGATAACATATTTTTACATTTTATACAAAGATTCTTTTATATATTTTCTGAAAGTAGTATAATATTATGTGAAGCTGACAATACGTTGACAGTTAATTATCAAAATAATAATTTAAAAAACTGATTTGAAATGCATGAAGATTAAATTGTATCCAACTATACAAATAAGAAGTGCTTTTTTACAAATTCACGTAATTTTTTCTTCAAAACTATACAGTTTAACTAAAAATTTATTAGAACAAAAATATCTTAGAATTAATCAGGGAATGCTCTTGAATTTTTTTAAAATGTTTTTTCAACTTTTTTGAAATTTCATTTTTTTGAATTTTTCAAAAATCAAAAATTGTTTTAAAACGTTTTGAAAAAATTTAAGAGTATTTCTTAGCCGATTTTAAGATATTTTTATTCTTATAAATTTTTTGCTAACACCTATACTTTCTGAGAAAAAAATGTATCAAGTTTAGAACAAAATTTTTTTATTTCGGCCGCCATTTTGCTTAGATGAAAAATTATTCAAATAAATGTCATCATCCTAACATTTAGTTCAGATATCGAGGACACCTTTCTAACCGGTTTTAGACCGATACAAAAATGTATAGGCTCCAGAAAAACAGTTTAAAAAAAAATTTTTTTTTTCATAATCACGTTTTTTTTTTAATTTTGATTTTTTAGAGGTTAGAAATCTTTTTTTCGACTTCTGATTATCACCATTCCAAAGAGCACCCTCGAAAACATAGGGACGGTTAGTTTTAAGTTATTTGAGTTCGAATTCATTGCGAGGTAACAATTCAAACTCAAACTTAAAAAATGTGTCCTGTGGACGTTAACGGGTTAAGTAATGGAAACATGGCAGAACAATTAGCAACTCATAAGGAGTTGTGCGTCTCCTCCGCGCTCTTTCTCGTTATGACCAGCATGGCTGCTGCATAGTTGCAGCCAGGGCGGTGAGCCCCGCAATTCGGAGATCATTTCCGAGGCTACATTGACCTCGAGAAGGTCGCACAGCTCGGAAATTGCACAAGGCATAACCGAGACTGTTTGAGCATCTCACGAGCAAGACTGGAAGAGAAAACGCGACAGAGGACGTTAAAAGGAGAAAGATGAAAGAAATTAGAAATTAGAAATAAGAAATTGGAAATTAGAAACAAGAAATTAGTCGTGGTACAAGATTACAAATTTCTACAAAACTTAATGAGAATAAGCCGAATAGTCGACGTAGTATTTATTTTTACAATAAGAATATAAATATAAGACTTAACATGGATACGTCAGTTGAGAAGCTATCAGCTTCATTTCCTTTGACACCAGAAAATCAAGTTCCCTATCAAATTCAATCTTCAGTTTCAAATCGTATCGAAAATGAACGTGTTCTAGTTGAAATTCAAATAAGTTCACCAGACTGACGTTATTGTTATAAAAAACCACTGATTCGTTCTTCGTCACGAGCGCGAAGAAACTTTTCGAGCGCAGACAAATTGAATTTATGTAATAATTAATTGTTGAGTTTTTGTTTGTTATGTTTTCCATTTGTTATTCTGTTTTTTTCTTTTTTTTTTATTAAATTTGTTGCCGTTGTTTCGCCCAATCACTTCTCATCTTAATTTTCATAACATGCATTTTAATCCGTTTTGCTTGGCCGATCATTTAGTCGTGGAAATGTTCGAAACGTTCGCGTTTCCTGAATCCCCTCTTTTAAATAAAAATTATACGGACAGCCGCGAACTACCCAAAGAGGGAACGGTCACAAATTTCTCCATTACAAACTTTAAAAAAAGAAGTGCTACCTATACTTTTTAAAACATCAATCGCTTCAGAATTGAATAAGCTTTAATTGTGAAAGTTTTGGAAAAAAATCAAAAGTCGTGTATTTTTAAATCTCTGACAGAGATTATAATTCAAAACAGAAAATAAGTCAAGATATTGTTTTTGATATATTTTGACCCATATAATTCAAATACATATCTAGAGTAACGTTATCTTTAATGTGCGAGTGCGATTAATAAAGAAAGACGAGATATAAATTAAGCGACTTTGTCAATAAGAAAATAAGCATGACATGAGAATAAAATTAAACGCTTGATCGTGCCAAGTCTTGAATGAACTGGCGATAGAAGTTCAACTTCACGAAAATTATTTTTTATGTTTTTTCATTGCGTTGCTACAAGCTCCACTGCTTTTGTTGTTGCCTCTTTTGTTATTGCTGGATATTACTAGAGCGAGAGTTTTTAAACCCTTCATTTTTTTTGCTTTTTCCTGAATCGAATAAAATCATAGCAAAACATTAAAAAATCATACTTTTGTGTTTATTGATATCAATGTTGCTGTGCGATTTAAACATTTCCATAGAAACAATAAGAGGAATCACAAAGTAACATCTTATGGGCCAAAGTATTTTGAAGCTGTTCTAATATTATACTATAATAAGCCCATAAAATTAAGAATCTGTATGTATTGTAAACATTGGAAAAAACAGTGCCGAATTATGGCACTTTCTTGGTGAATATTCTCAAATAAGACCTCATAAGTCTTCAACAAAGGTCTATGAGATGCAATTATTCAAGAGATTTTTATTTTCTTACCAAATAAAGCCACTTAAAAAATTTGAGAAACATCCATTATTGTTTAATCTGCTGAAAAACTTGAAAATTTATATATACTAAACTTTTCAATGTATAATTATAGGCTTGATGCGCAATATAACTCGTGTACGTGGAAGATCCAGCCATTTCAATCCTTTGGCGGCCATACCGAGCTGTTGCAAAAGCCTACTAGAAACTTACATAGATTTCATCGGAGGTCACTAAAATTCTAAGAAAAAGCATTGACTTATGACATTACGATATATGAACTAATACCACTTTAAATGAATAATCAAATTATTGTTTGAAACTTATTATAAGTCGGATATTGTATTCTTATCACGTTTGGAAGCCAATACGTTTCATAAATTCACTTTGTATGTTGGTGTATAACAGTAGATATGATAGATAAAACGACTGCAACAATAATGGCTGGCTTTGATATAATATGCATGTACAATAGAAACCAAAATGTAGTAGGCAAGCATTGCAATATAAATAAGGAATAAGGCTTAATCTGATAAAGCTCTTGTAAACATACTTTTTCTGAGAAATGTATTACTAAATACTTATGTATTACTGACCTTCATCGGAGTGTTTTCTTTTGATGCTATTGCCGTTGGGGTCTTGATGATGCGCAGAAATACCAAGGATGCCGCTAATGCTGTAGGCATTTGGAGCTGTCGCTGGAGTATGCGTTATTACTGACACCGAACCTCCCGTGCCCTGTTGTGGTTGCTGTTGCTGCGGTTGGCCTTGCTGTTGCTGTACTTGTTGCTGCTGTTGGTGTGCATGTTTTGCTTTCTCCGCAGCCTTATTCCGAACAATTCTGTAAGAATTTTAACCAACCAATCATTAATCAGTTTTATGCTAACACAAGTTTTCTTGAATCATATCCATAATATTTTTCATCGCCACGTTCTTACTATCGCTCGATAACGTCAAACATCTTCTCTGGACAATTTTTAAGAGGGATAGGCAATGAAGCAAAACCTATCAATTCAATATTCAACCATGCCGCGATAATGACACTAATTACGTAAAGTGCTATAATAACATGGATTTTAGAATTTAAATAATATCTCAATAATAAAATTTATTATACATAACAGTATTATTGGAGAGAGTTTATTTATAACTGAAAAATGAGATTTCCATGAAATCCATGAAAAATATTTTTAATTAATCCCTGACACAGCGTTGAAATTTTTTTATTAAAATAAAACAGGTTTTTTCCTTCTACTGTTTATTTTAGATTTTATAATGAAACTAATAGCGTAATCGTATTATATATGGAAAACATGTAGCATATTAGAGTTTTAATTTTAATTTATTGACAAATAAAGGAATTTCGTAAAGTAACTTATCGATACATTCTTCGTAATATACTTGTTATTTTTATCAACTTCGCTCTGCCAACCAGTTAGTTACCTATGCAAGTTGATAAAAATAACAAAAAAATGAAAATAATAATGATAATAAATTTATGACGGGGAAAACCGTTTAGTAGCGATTTCCTAGCCTCTTGCTGTCTGCTCCCGCTATCGTTAAGCCGAGCATCGATGTAATTGCCGGTTTATATGATTTGAGATGGCGGACTAGCGGCTTAGGGAGGATTAGCTATACAGATTCCGGTAGGCCATGGCGGTGAAGAGGCGCGCAAAAGAGGAGAAGAGAGAATATGTAAGAGAACGACGGTTGAGGAACGACGAGTTATTGTACGTGAAGATTTGGTTCGAGGTGTCACTGTTGGTAGCAGAGAGGAGTTATACGTGAAGATTCGGCTTGGGAAGTCATAGCAGCACAGAGAACTTTAGTATGAATTCGGTATGCGCCGTAGATTACTGCAGAAATCTTCGTTCAGTTTTGTTGGTCGGTGATTTGGTGAGCCGGATCGTCCCCGGCCTCTGCAGTACAACCATCGGCATTAGCTCCATCACCCCTACGTCCGAACCTATTGGAAGAAAAGGTATGGCAATCGGGGTAACCGACACAGTGAGAGCTCTTCTCTTTCTCTTTCCGCTCCTCAAGAATCAGTTCTAGTGCGCGGTAGTTGGTCGTGGTGTCGTAGACTCCTGACAATCACATGCTCCGCGGTGCGCAGGATTGTAACCACTTAGCGACCCTTATTTGTTTGAGTCTGCCGAAGAGGCTCACCGTTGCCTGTCGTGCAGGATTGCCGCTTCACACCGGTGGAACACCTCTCCGGGCTTACCGCTTCTCCCGAAAGCTTATTTGTACAGTAATTTGTATTGCGCTTCTTTACTTTTACTTATTTGTTTGTAATTTCTTTTGCACTATATATAACTTTATTGTTATTGTTAATAAAGAGATGGTTTCGAGTTTTTGTAAGCTATGTAATTAGATTTTAAGTTATTTTTTCTTCCCGTCTAAGGCTCTCTCATGTGCGAACGTTGCAACCTGTATGCCCGGCAGGTTGTTCAGTAGTTGAAGCATTTTGCCTTCCAAATACCCGCGCAAATAATTAGTAAATAGAATCGTGGGCAAATTTTATTTTAAAAATCGACTCTCCCTTTACAAATTAATAAATAATAAATTAATAATAATAATATTTATTATTATTATTATTATTATTATTAATAATAAATAATAATAATGCCGGGTAGGTCCAGTGAGTGGTAATACCTCACTGGGCAAATGCTAGCTTCCAACGTCTACGACCGTGCCCGGTGGAAACGTCGTCCGTCGCGTCAATACTCTGAGCAGCAACGTTATAACGGACACGGCCAAGAGGAAGATATGGCTCACAAATGACGCAAAAGATAATGGTATTCTGCCGATGTGCCCAACCATTAATCACTTACACACACCTACACTCACACATTACACAAAAACTTACACACACACGCCTCTTGGTAAACTGAGATGAATGAATGCTCGGCGACCTTATAAACGGGGCTTATTGAAAGAGCGAATGCCGGGGACCCTTATAAATGGAGCCGCCCGAAAGCGAATGAAGGGGATCCCTCTAATCGGGCTCTCCCCGTGAACGAAGCCCGGTTTTGCCACTATGGGTACTCACAATCACGCACACTCTACAGGGGGGAACACTGAACACACAGAGAAGAGGAGGGGGGACCTCAGGGACCGTGCGTTGTTCCAGCGCGGTTCGTGGAGTCGCGACCACGAGGGACCTTTAGCACAACGGGACAAAATGAAAAATATGAATATGCACAAAAAAAACATAGATATACCTCAAGTGGTAACTCCTTCTCAGGAGGAATCCACCCCGGGTTCCGATCGGGTGAAAGCCCCGGTGGCCACGGGTAGATGCACGGATTTTGAAGGCCGTACTTTGTGCACGGGGATGAGGAGGAGGACACGAAAAAACGACACAACCTACTGAACTTACCATGACGATAGAGGACGGACAGTGTGTCAAGCGGCGGCAGCGGCGTGAGCTACGTCTCTGCCGCTGACAGCCAAGAACCGACGACAGGACGAGCACCCACAACAACAAACGACACACGAGACGTGACGGAACTGCTATGGCTCATACAAGAGACAGCGACGAAAATGGCCAAAGCAGCAAACGTACAAAAGAACATGAACATAACAGTAAATACGGGAATTAAGACAATTCTCGAGACTGTGGACATCGCGCTGCACAAGCGATCGGACACAGTTTCGGGAAAACGTTCCCAAGACAGACATGGCAGCGGAGAATCACGAAGAAACGCCATGGACGAAACGAAAACGTTCACCGGTCGGAACCACGCCGGACCCTCACAAAAGAGGCCACCGATGACGGAACCGACCAAGGACTGGCAGACGGTAACACGAAAACGATCAGACAAGACAAAAAAGAAAGCGGACGCAAAGAATCGGTCTGACAGAGGCGGACCGGCCCACCGGAAAAGAGGTCTTGCTGTCCTGATCAGGCCGGGCACAGACACAACGTACTCCGATATAGTACGGAAAATACGAACGACGATCGACCCGAAGGAGAGCCAACGTGCAAGTGACAACCCTGAGGAAGACGAAGAACGGCTTATGTCTTCTGAAGCTACAGGTAGACGCAGACAAGCCGGACGGACGTGAGATGTTTGGACGACAGATCCAAGATATGATCGGGGAAGCGGGCAGTGTCAGGGCCATGACCTCCAAGGTCCAATTGGAGATCATGAATCTGGACTGCGTTGCGACTTCGAAAGACGTGACGGACCCGCTCAGATGAGAGATGGAACGAGACACGGACTTCCGAGTCCACATTTTCGGTCCAAATCGCGCTGCGCAGTATATGGCGGTCTGCGAATTGGAATCGCGGGAAACCGATGCATTGTTTCGGCGTGGTCGGATCGGAATTGGCTGGGTGCATTGCCGCGTTCGGAAACGACTGACGGTGACAAAATGTTACAGATGGTTGGGCTTCGGCCATGTGAAAGCTGAATGCACAGGTAAGGACAGGACGAAATGCTGCCGCAAGTGTTACATATCCAGACACTACGCGACGGAATGTCAAAACAAGCCGGTCTGCCCACTGTGCTCCGAGGCCGGGCACAGGGACGTCGCCCACCTTTCCGGAAGCGGCAGGTATGCCGTGTTCTGGGCCGCGCTGGAGGAGTGAGGGGATGGGCCGGAGGGCGGATAGAATAATTCAGAGAAACCTGAATCGAAGTAGGACTGCAGACATGCTCCTACCTTAGATAGCCGACGAATATGACGCGGATATCCTGATCCTGAGTGAACCATACAGGAGAAGGACGACCCAGACATACATCACAAACAAGACAGAGACCACTGTTATCTGGGTAAGGGGTGGCACCCAATCTAGAGTCTCCAATCGCGGTGTCGGGGACGACTACGTTTGGGTCACAGTTGGCGCTATCACTTACCTCAGCGTCTACCTGACTACACCGCGATAGAGTTCGAGAGAAAGGCGGCACTCTTAGAGAACGGAATCAGGGACCTGTCCGGCGATATCATTATTGCGGGGGATTTTAACGCGAGGGCGACTGAGTAGGAAATGAACGAAACGAATCGACGCGGACGACTACAACTGGAAATAGCCGCAAGGCTCTAACTAGCAGTGGTAAATACAGGACATACGCCGACGTATAGACGGCCAGGTGTCGGAGACTCTATCCCCGACGTCACGATGAGGGGATGGCGGGTGATCGAAGACTACACAGCAAGCGATCACCAGTACATCGCCTTTGAGGTGGTGGGTCGGACGGGAACGAGACAAATGAGAACCCATCAACCCCCGCGGTGGAATCTACGTAAACTCGACGGACGAAAATTTTCGGAAGAGCTAATGACAGCACCAGCCCCAGATGAGAGAATTGTCCCCGAACTGACGAGCCGGCAAAGAGCGGAAAGACTGACAGATGAGACGGCCAAATTAATAGACAGCTTATGCAGAAACACAATGCCGAAACGTCGACAGATACAACAAAGACAACCATCATATTGGTAGACGAACGAAATAGCCGAGTTACGCAGGATATGTCTGACATATCGGCAACGAGTAACAAGGGCAGGGGGGGACCCGTAAGGGAAAACCTCCAAGCCATATACAAAACAGCACGAAAGACGCTGACGAAAGTAATACGGGACAGCAAGACGCGATGCTGGAGGAAGCTCTGCGAGGAGGTGAACGAGGATCCCTGGGGAACCGGCTACAAAATCGTGACCGGGAAACTAGGGGCCTGAGTCTTACCGGAACTTAAAGATGCTGAAACAGCAGGACGGATTGTTGACGGATTGTTTCCGATGCACCCAATTAGGACAAACGTGATGGATGACGTGGACGTACAAATGCCACCCGCCTTTGCCGCTGAGGAGCTCATCAGAGCAACGAATGCG